ACACAGGGGTTGTTCCCAGGGGCTCCTCCACTGGCACACAGGGGTTAACAGGGCTCTGGGTGGGCGGGTGGAAACCAAGCTGTGAAATGGAAGAAGGTCAGGCTCTTGGAGGAGTTTGCTCTGCCGCAGATGGTTTTGAGTTATCTGCCCGTCTATGGAGAGGTCTCCATTCCTCCCCCCCCCCCCAAGAAAACTGTAAAACCAGCTCTGGAAATAAGGCAAAGCCTGATCAGGCTCGTGGCTTCAGTGGAACAGGCAGAGTGGTGGCTCTCCTGGTACTTGCTAGACCCAACTGTCTGCCTAATTAGGAATTCCTCAGTTATTCAGAACCCAACACCTAAATGCCATTGGAGACTAAAAACCATTGGCACTTTTCTGTGGGGAACAAATGACTGGAAAGGGAGAAGAGGAACAGAAGGAATCCCTGTGGCTCTGGATGGCTCAGGCCCTTTGGGATAACTCTGCTCTTGCTGCAGTTGATGAAAGCTGAATTCAGGTTTCGGTGGAAGCCAAGAAATGCTTCCTCTGGGAGCATTCCCGTGGCCTTCATGAGGTGTTACCGTCTTTAGGGACTTGTCTAGCAACTGGTTTTATTAATTTTAAGGCTACAGCAAACAACCAACAAAGCAAAAATCTGCTGTCCTGGACTAGTAAGACCAAAGCCTAAGGAGGCCCCCTTGGGATGGTCATCGGCCAGAGCAGGGGGAGGAGGGTGCTGTGGGAATCCCACTGGGACACTGCTAGAAAACAGTGTCTGCTGCTGAGAGGATTTTCCAGCAGCAGTCTGGATTTTCCAAATCCTTGTTGTCCGATTTTCTTGGCTCATCAACTTTCAGATTGTTTGGAATTGCTTTTACTTTTATATCACTGCAAATGTCCCAGGGGATGCAGGACTGAAGGATTACAGCCCAGGCGTGGGCTAAGATTGACATGGTTTTCTTAGGAACTGGGAAGGTAGAAACACTGTCACCAGCAATAACAGTCAAAAAGAAAGAAGGAATGAAGAAAATTATCCCAGAATTTCATTTTCACATTTATCTTTTAAATTGTGGATTGAAATGATGGTTCCCAGCCCAGCAAGGGAGAAGTTTTTGAGACCTGGTTGAGAATCTTTTTTTTCTAAGACCAGGGGAAATGGTGCTCTCTGAGGTCATTCTGTCTTCATCCCATCTAACATGAGTCTTAGCTGCAGGACCAAGGTTTTTCCGTGTGTTCCCTTCCCCGCTAACCTCAGATTTTAGAATTATCACCTCCTGGTAGAAAACCAGAGGAAAACCTTGTTCTGGTTCTGCCAGCCCAGACATCATGTGAACCATGGCCATCACGGTAAAAATACTGCTCTGGAGCCAGCCCTTCCTCCCTGAGCTGAGCACGAGGATTTAATATGAATATACTCACACAATCCAAGTTAAAAACAACGGTTGGATGCTCTCAGTCAGAAGTGAATGAAAGTAGACTTCAGACCAAGCAGGTTTTGCTCCCAGCATGTGGTGCTGCTGGGAGAAGAGAGCCTTCAGCCCCAAACTGGCCACCACTTGATCATCAGGAACCAAAGAGAGGTCCCTTTGCTTCCAGGGGAGCTTCCTGAGGAGAGGAAGGAAGGTTTACAAGCTGCAAAGGCAGAGTGGTAGCAAGAGATTTGGGGGCACAATGTGCTGCACTTGCACTTCCAGGGTAAACCTGTCCATGGGAATCACAGGATGGTTTGGGTTGGAAGGGACCTCAAAGATCATTTGGTACCAACCCCCCTGCCCTGGGCAGGGAACCTTCCACTGGTGGAATAAGTGGCTGCTCTCAGGAAAGGGATCAGGCTGTGGCTGTGCTGGAAGCCAAAATGGCACATTGAGGTGTCTTTGGGCTGCAGCAACGAAGATCCTCCAGGAGCAACTGGATTTCTTTCAGAGCTCTTGGAACGGCACAAACTGAGAGGCTCCACTGGTGAAGGCCAAGCCCAGGCATGGTTGGCCCAAACACAAATGCAATAATCCACTGGTTTTACTTCTCTGCTGGGGGATTATGAGCTCTCCTGAGAACTCGTGGCCTCCGAGAGCCCCTCTGGTGGCGCGTCCGACAGAACTGCGTGTGCAGCTCGTCCTTCCCCTGGACCTGCACCAATGTTTGTCCTTTTTTGAGGCACAAGGTCTCGCATTGGGAGCTCCAGCCTTGCCCTGACTGATGGTTGCATGTGGCCGGGCTGGCCCCGGGCCGTGTCCGTGCCGTGCCAAAGGCTCCGGGTTCCACGGCACCTCCCCTGGGGCCGGGGCAGTGAGGGGCTATAAGGAGCCCCCCACAAGTGCCCACAGCACAGTGTGGGGACATCCTGGAGGTACCAGCAGCTCCTGAGCGCGGTCTGAGCTCCTGGGACGGTGGAGAGGGACAAGAATTTGTTCCTGTTGCCATTTGGTGACATTTGCAAGGGGCTGATGAGGGGCGTGTCTTCTCTCCTGCAGATCTCTAAATACCTGTGACCAGGGACTGTGGGGCAGCGATGAGGAGCTCTGTGCTCTGAGGCACCACACAGAGCCACCACAGCCCAGGAGACACAGCAGCGACCTCAAACAGGACCATCCCAGAACCTGCAAGGTAACGAAGTGGTCGTGTCACCGCTGAGGTCCGTGTGGGGCCAGTGCAGAGCTGGGGGCACGAAGGGCCACCCTCACTGTCGTGATGGACTTTGCTTTGTGTCGCAGCAGGTCTGAAAATGGTTGTGAATATTGTGGGAAAAGTGGGCTCCTGTAGGGTTGGGTCCTGTGGGGTTGGGTCCTGTAGTGTTGGGCTCCTGTAGGGTTGGGTCCTGTAGGGTTGGGATCCTGTAGGGTTGGGCTCCTGTAGGATTGGGATCCCATAGGGTTGGGCTCCTGTAGGGTTGGGCTCCTGTAACGTTGGGGTTCTGTACGGTTGGGGTCCTGTAGGGTTGGGATCCTGTAAGGTTGGGGTTCTGTAGGGTTGGGGTTCTGTAGGGTTGGGCTCCTGTAGGGTTGGGGTTCTGTAGGGTTGGGATTCTGTAAGGTTGGGGTTCTGTAGGGTTGGGATCCCGTAGGGTTGGG